AAAAAAAAAAAAAAAAAACATATTTTTACTGAAAAATTAACAGTTGTTTTTTGTTAAGTATTTTACAAAATCTTAATGTCAAATATACGCTGCTCTATTGTTTTTCCTTTTACAGTTTTTTTATGTCGCTATTTTACAGAATTTCTCAGTTAATTTTTTACAGTGCACTAATGCATTCATACAAGTTAAATCCATGTCTAGTTATTTTAATTATTATTTTCTATAACTTGTACAGTTTTTTAAATATTACCTATTCATTGACCAGGCCCTAAATTATGGAATACTTTTTTTTTCTTGGCAGCTCTTTTTCAGAATTGATTATGAAATTTTTTTAAATCCATGCGGAATTCCAGTCTAACAAACTGTTTTATCGGACAATTTTATAAGCATACAACCACTCGACATGGACAGAACGTGTCAACAGTGGGGGCAGGATCTATATCCATAACTCTGGAGGCAACAGCACTGTCCCGACTTGAAAAATATCTGTTTTGGTGCAGAATTTTCCAGTTTATCCTATATTCCTATATTTTTTCCACCATCAACACTCCACTTTAGGTTCCCGATTGTAATGCAAGAAAAATCATTGTACTTGTCTGGCATCATATTAGGAAAATGGCTTTAAGCTGGTAGTTCTTTCAAGCTCCTTTAGTCTTTGTGCAGACAGCATGTTTCTGGGCAGTTTGATGTCTAGACTCACTGCAGTGGACTTTGTTTTAGCATTAGCATGCAGTCAAGGCAGACTTTAATCTTTCATTTCTGCCCCCTTCCACAGATGCGAGTGGTCAATGCCTTCCAGGACTCACTCACCCCCTATGAAGGTCTGGAAAAGCCCCAGTCTCTCACCTCCATCCACAACTTCATGACTCCCCCAGAGTTTTGGATGGAGGACTCCCAGCCCCATGTCCCCTTGATTGATGACACGGATGCAGAGGATCATCTCCCCACCAAACACCACTCCAAAGCCTGTGCCCTCCCCTCACTTAACAAAAATAATAATGCTGTGGATAGTGGTGTCCATCTGTTTCTGGAGAGCAACAAGTCAAGGCCCTCAGCCCCAGAAATTCCCTTCCCTGGAGACCACTGTGTGATTGGTTCCCCAAACCCTGGGTGTCTGAGCTGTGAGAACTTGAACATGGATAAAAAGAAAAGATGCCCAAAGTAAAGCAAAAAAAAGGGAAATATCCATCTTGCTCCTGGACTGTGTTCTGTGAAGCTATTCATCTGGACGACTGTAGTTGGACTTGTACTTCTTCTATAATGGCTGATACAGTAATACATAATTCAAGATAGCAGTTGTTAACAAGGTTTTTAGGTACTTTATGCTTAAATTTATAGCTAAGAGGTTCCAGGAGAGGAAGATGCTGAACAAAATAAAGGGGGAGCATAGCTCATATTTTGTATTGCTGTTTTATAAAGGGCTTGTAAAAGCAGAATTGTCTTGCCCTTTTTTCTAGTTACATATACTGTTAAATGTATCCAAGTATCAAAAGGGTGATGGTACTAATAAACAAGGGCCACAGACACAATTACAGTGGTATTGCTCTGCTTTGACAACAGCTCGGAGTTTGCTTTGAGAATTAAGAATGCTTCTCATACTTTGATTCCTTGGAGATGAATGAGTGGAGGTAATGGCCAGTGATAGTAGGGTTCTCTTAAACTGAGTAACGTGCACAAAGTATATGACGGAACCCCTATCACAAAGGTTTAACTGGTTGGAGGCACTGCCCTGGTTATCAGAAGTGCTACTTGAAATGAAATGGTTCACTGTCCATCTTCTAGTATTTACTGAGCATGTCTAAGGACTGTACTGAAAATTAAAAGAAGACATCAGCAGATTTGGTGTCATTATGCAGCAAGACTGCATTTGTGTGTTTTATAAAATGTCTTCCAGTGAACTATGGCTTAGTGATATTTCAACAGATATGGGGACAGCCATTTCTGGATTAAGAGCTAAGATACAATCCTTATAATACTTAAAAATGCCTATTCCTAATTATCTACACACAGAAGTTCAAAAATAATGAAAGCTTTTTTTTCTTTTAAATCACTATGGTCAGTGTACGGGAATTCAATACAAAACTTTGAAGAACTGCTTTTATTTTTACCAGTGGAAATGAATTTGGACAGTGTTGTCTTTTTAAAATAATAATAATAACTAGTAACTGCAAGCAGTGACAGAAGGGTCCAAAGCGTAGGACGATCGGACAGGTAATAGAGGAATAACGGCAGAGAACCGGCTGCAACGGTAGTAGAAAGTCAGACAGAATTAGACTGCCATAACAGGATGTAGAGTTAGTGTAGGTCGAGCGGGACAGTAGATGTAGGACAGAGCAGGACTGGTTTGGGTGAGATGGTCTTAATAGTAGGTAGAAATTAGGATGGAGATGGTTTTAGTATAGGCGTAACAGGTCAGTAGGTGTCGGAGAGTACGCTGTGCACATCAGGCTGCCTAACTCAAGTACTCACCGGAGCTGGGTTCAAACCGCTGACCCTCTGATTACAGGCACACAGACTTAGCCCACTGAGCCACCCATTGCTGTTCATAAGATGGGTGAGATCGGTAGACACCTTCCTACCTGATCTGGTAACTCATTTTAGCGGAATTAGCCAAGGTGGGTCTTAGACATATATAAACAGTGGACGTAGCACTCCCGTTTGACTGATCGACACAAAATTTGGAGCTTTGGTCTGGGTCTGTACAATACTATGTCAAATTTGGTAATGATTGGCTGAAACATGCCTGAGATATAGCTGTCTGATTGAAATGGGTGAGGCACCAGTAAAGTCAGGAAAAGCCCCAGTCTCTCACCTCCATCCACAACTTCATGACTCCCCCAGAGTCCTGGTGGCCATACCTTATCGAAAGTTTTTTTTCTAAATCTTTAAAAGGACTGTCTCCTGATTTGAATGACACCAGATTTATGTAGGTTTAGTGAAAATCCTAGGAGGTTAACGAAAAAACCTGTTTTCAGACAAATATAAATCTTGCAAAAATGCAAAGATGGAGAACCAAGTTTTATATATAGTTGGATTTTTCACGACAATAAATTTCAACTGTAGGCTTGGCAGTTCTGGAGAAATAGGCAGAAATGCAAATGGGGGCGCTGTAGCACCTCCATCTGGCTGAGTGAGGTGTCATTTACATGGATGGCTGCGGGTCAGAGGAGAAATGTACCATCCAAATTTGGTTTGGATTGGTCATTGATAAGCCTGTCAAATGGCTGCTTGATTTTGATTGGCTGAAGGCGGCCACTCTTGTAGGACTTATACCATTGTACGTGTCTGACCTCAGGCTGGGTCCTAGAACATATCTGCCAAATTTCAGTTGGATTGGCTGAGGCAGTCAGGAGATATGGTAATTAGGTATTTGTAGCGCTCCCTATGGACGAAATGCGATCCGCCTTGGACCGTGTCCCCAGAATGCTGTTGGGAGGGAGTTTTTCAAATTTGATCAAGGTAGGCCAAGGCATGGCCAAGTTATAGCAGTCAGACCAAAATGGGTCAAATTTGGGAATTGTTTGGGTGTGGCTAATGGCCGTAGGATACAAAATGTCCGAATTTTTCGACTAATTATTGATCAGTTCAGAGTTCTGATTCGTTTGACACCTTATTTGTCTGATTTGGTAGGACAAGCTAGGACTTAAAGGGATAATTAGGATTTGCAAATTAGCAAAAAATCTAATTAGGCGGAGTTTCATGGTCCAAATGGCCAGTTGGTGTCTCTATATGTGGAAAAAAGAATTTTGATTGTAGGACAAACAGGACAGGAGATATCGACCGAAAGGGTTTGGGGGGCGCTACGGCACATCTTGCAGCCAAATTTGGTAGGCCTAGGACTACGGTATAGGCTGGGCATTCAGTTTTAGGGAAGAAAAATAATAAAAAATAATCCTAACAAAAACAATAAGGTTCCATAGCACTACGTGCTTTGGACCCTTAATAATAATAGGTACTTTATTCATCCCCTCTGGGAAATTCAGGACCATCTATGGAGCATCATCAAAACACTTTCTTCTGCAAAAAGGAAAAAAAATACTGCAAATGCACAGACATACTGCTGCATATTGATACAAAATCAGCAGCTGTGTTCCTTTGTCTTTTTTCCTTTTGATTTCCAATCCATGCAGAGTAAACACTGGAAACTGGACAGTTGTGACCATGAGGATTGTTTTTATTCTTGCAACATTTCAACTGCACTTACTTATTATTCAACTTCTATTTTATTTTTGTTTAAAAAAATCCAACTTTCAAGTTTTTTCCCCTTTCAGTGGGAATGGATTTTTTAGCATATGGAAAAATCTTTGTTTGAAACAATGTAAATGGTTATTGTGTTTCAGTTGTAAAAAAAGTAGTGCTGTCAAATGATAAAAAATTTTAATCAGATTAATCACAGGGTTTCTGTGGATTAATTTTGATTAATCATGATTAAATATCATTCATTTTTAATCTATATTAATCACATTTAATTTTGCATGAGCAAACAGACTTAAGAAAAAAGGGAATATATATGCACTTAACATGTTTACTGAACATCTTCAACATGAGTCGGATGCATTCCATCTGACACAGAAGTGCAATACCATGGACCCATATCAAAAAGCAAGATTTTTTGCTTAGCCGGACAACTTGTCGGATTTAAGGTACCTCTGTTTAAACGGTCTTTATCTTCGTTCGCTTACAATTAGCACGAACTACCGTAAATCCGACAAATAATCAAACTAATCATGAAGTCCAATTCTAGCCTGGTTAATTGCCATTGTTAGCAATATCAGTTGATAACACATTACGTATGGTGCTTCACATATAAAACTCCGTAGCAACACATCCACAGATAAGTTGGACGGTATAGCGTGTGCGACCGATTTAATGAGCCACAAATGAGAAGTAGGCTAGTGCTTAAACCGTATAAAACTACAACTTTCCCTTCTTTTGATAAAGGGCGCAGCCATCTTGGATCCTGAACTCGGGATCCTCTGTGCTGCTCCGAGATATTTCTCGGATGTCCGAGAAACGGGAGCGCATGTAGTCACTTCCGGCTTCAAAACTCCGGAATCCGACTCAGAATACAAGTTCCGAGGGGAAATGGAATGCACTAAAACTACAGGTACCCGAAATGGGTTGACAGAGACATTTCAGTGATTTTGAATCATTCTGCGCTGCAGATGGGTTAATTGCGTTAAAAATTTTAATCAGATTAATCATGATGATGGATTAATCCGAGTTAACCCGTTAATTTTGACAGCCCTAAAAAAAAGTAAAGCTTTTCTCACCTAAGCTACAGTGGTGCAGTGGTGGCTTGATGGTTAGGGTAGCGCACTTGTAATTGAAAGATTGCAGGTTTCAATCCCCCACCAGCAAGTCACCACTGAGGTACCCTGAGCAAGGTACCGTCCCCAAGCACTGCTCCCCGGGTGCTGAATTAGCTGCCCCCTGCTATGTCACGAAAGTCACATATGGGTCAAATGCAGAGGACACATTTCGTTGTTGTGTGCTGTGGTGTGTTGACAATGACCACTGATCACTTAATTCTAAATAACAATAAAGGTAGTTTTTTTAACCTAACTGTAGAACAATGTTTTTGCACTAGTACCACACACTGGCTTTTCTGATATCTATGCAAAGAGGACTTGCTCTTGTAGAACTATACCCACCTTTGTAATGAAATAATGTAATTGGTGCATTACAACAGTGGTTCTCAACCCAGCATATAAAAATGGACTGTATGGAGGGCATACAAAAATCATTTTCAAACACCTACCTGTATTTTCCTACAATCATTAAAAAATCCCAACACATCTATGCTGTCCCATTATTCAGAATAAATGACTGTAAATAACCCCTTGGCAGTAGGCAAATGACAGCTATATATTTTTTTTATTCTAAAGTACAATGGTAGATGTCTTAGTTTGAAATGTTAGCTGTTAACATTTTCATTAATATCTTCAATCTTTTATTTACACAGAGTACAGAACGTGCTCAAATAACTTCTGGATAAATATAAAAGTGTTTACAGTTTGTTCATCCATCTTCCATCCATCCGTTTATCCTGGTGAGGTTCACAGGAGCCTAGAGCCTGACTCCAGGCAGCAAAGGAGAGGAGAACACTGTGGCCGAAATGCTGTCCATCGCAGTGCACATACACAGTCATGTTCTATGGGCACTTTAGACACAGCAGTTAGCTTAACTGCTCATCTTTGGACTCATTTTGGAAACCAGAGTACTGGGTGTAAACCTGTGAGAGACAGGAAGGACATAGGAACACATACAGAGAAAAGGTAGGATTCAAAACCGAACAACAGTGCATGTTGGTGTTAACATTATCCAAATCCATCTGCAAAACCTTGTATAGCCTCATTTTCCTGTAGCACTGGTGGTAAAAGGCGCACAAGCTTGCCAATGCCGTATACTTGTCTTGTATTCCCAGGACGGGGAATACGTATGGTATTAGGACCAATCCATCACTGTCACAGACACTTTCTTGTTAGTGCGATAACTCGATGGTTTGATGGTTCTTTAACAAATGTTGCAGACACATTAAGATCTGGAACTGATAAAATTTTGAGATCGCACCAAAACTGAAGCAGCACCACTGATTTTGACATTTTATGACACTAACAACTCAGAAAGTATTTGACTAATATTTTTCAAACTTAGCAGACATGTTATATGGACTTGATCAAATTTTGAGACAAACGGCCACAAAACTGAAGCAATGAACTTAGTATCAGCAAAAGGGAAAGATGACGACAGACAACACTTGACATGGTGAACGTGATAAGTTAAAAAGTATTTGATGGATCTTATTACCAACTTTAAAAAGAAATTATATGGATGATGCTCTATACCTGATTT